GTGAGACTCCAACTCAAAAAAAAAAAAAAAGCTTTATTCTTTTACGTTCCATTATATAACTATGCCACATTTTATTAAATCGTAGGTTTGCGTTGTTCATTTTATATCTGTTCTAATGTGTATATTCAGTATACATTTTGCATACCATAAGTATCACGTGCTAGACAAACCCAAGCTAATATAACTCCCCAGACAAGGCCCAGCACGTGGTGGGGTCCAACACTCACTATTTGGTGAGCCCTTCTAGTGATGCTTAGTACCTTGCCACAAAGCCTCTTATTTAATCCCCACATTCACCCTATGAGTTAGGCTTGACCCAATGCATGGCCAGGGCCCATAGAGGTTTGTAAGCTCTGAGTCTGAAGGCTCCCAGAGAGTTTAGTGAAGGGAGGCTTGGGAACAGCTTCAGGACATGCTAGAGGGTAGAGATGTCTTTCAACTTGGACAATGAAGGACAGGGATTTAGAGAGAATGCACAAGGAAAATCCCAGCATGTGGGATGAATGTCCAGAGGCTGGCTGAGGAGGGCCCAGGTAGGCAGACTGGTGGGAAGGGAGGACCCAGTGCTCTGACGTGGTGTGGGCTCTGAGCTAGCTGTGCACCCAGGCTGGGCCAAAGCCTCCTTCCTCTTTCTCGGCCTCTGATATGAGAACTTTGGCTTTTGTAATCATTGACCTGCCGGCTTCCAGAGAATGAAAAGATCATACTAGGAATCTGTCTGATTGACAGCTACACCAGTGCTATCTATGATGATCTTGAAGTCAGGGCTGCTTTTGGGTTCTGTGGGGAAACCAAGGCAGTGCCCATCCTGGTGCGGTACACATAGTGAATGCTGACCGTTTCTTTGGTGTGCCTCACCCAGTCTGTTAAGGGCCTGCCTAATGTCACATTTCTTGGCTATCTCATTTTCAAAACCAGCAAGAGTTTTGCTGGCCACTCCCTCACCTGTGGGTAAGCAGAGCTCTCCATCTGCTGACTTCTGCCCTTCCTGTTGCCTCATGCCCTCAGCTTCCAGGGAACAGAAGCAAACTGCCCTTTCTTCTTCCTTGGTCCTTTGCCCATTGGAAACACCTTGGCCCAACACTCTTACTCGCCTTGTGTCATGTACCTTTCCAAGGCACATTCCTGCCTAGTGTGTCATCTATTTCCAAATAACCTTGGAAAACTGGTGGTTTGGGGATCATTGCCATTGAGGGGCACTGGGTAGGAAGTCCAAGGCCCTGAGGTCCAGTCCTGGCTCTTCTACAGACCCTTCAGTGATCTGGAACTTGTCTCTCCCTCTTAGGGCTCAGTTCTCTGCCTTGTGAATGTTAAGAAGGGAAGGGCAAGGTGAGACCACAACTCTAATGCTGATAAGTGTGGCCATTTCCATTTTGCAGACAAGCAAAAGGGGGTGGGGGTGGAGAAGGAGTGGCACAAGAGTGACAACCTGCTGGGATTCACAGAACAAACAGTCTGACGGGTTGAAATCAGAAGCTAGCACGTTCGGCTCCAAGTCCAGGCTGCTTCCCCACTATCTGTGCTGCTCCTGCCACATAATTTGCCCCTTTCCACCCCACCCCCGTGGGTGGGCAGGTTGGTTCCTGGGCCTCCCAATCAGAGTCTGGAGCCACCTGGACCCCAGGCATGGCTCCACCAGGGGGATGAGACTCCAGAGAACCCAAGGGTTCTTCTCAGGTCAAGACCTAGCTCCAGAGAGAAAAGACCCTTCTTCCCCTCTCTCCCCAGGAAAAGGTCTGGCCAGCTCAGTGTCTAGAAGTCAGCTGGACTGGTTTGGTCACCTAAGGTCAGGAAGTGGCCAAGTTTCCCGGGAGAAGAACTGGTGTGGTGCCAGGCAAGATATCTGAACATGGGAACCTGTCAGTCCAGGTGCTGCCCTGTAGGAACTGAGGCCCAGACACGCCCATAACAGTGTGGTTTGTGTTTCTGCAGAAGCTGACGGGTCGCCTCATGCTGGCCGTGGGAGGGGCAGTGCTCGGCTCCCTGCAGTTTGGCTACAATACTGGAGTCATCAATGCCCCACAGAAGGTGAGTACTGTGTCATCCTTGGCTTATGGACACCAACTAGCTCTGCTGCACACCATACACCCCCACATGCGCATGCTGTTACCTGGGTGTCAGAGCCATTTACATCAGTTCACTGTCTGCCTCGCCCGCCAATTTTTTGGCCGTCACCTTGTCAGAGACTCAGCTCTGGCCTTGGAATCTTGGGGCTGCAGAATTCTAGAGTCTCCGGGCTTTGTAGGTCCAACCTCCCCCCCAACTCAGACATTTATGATAATCAAAGCAACACTTAGTACAATGATGCCGTATTTATAGGGCCTTCAGTGGTTGGGGGTTTCATGGTGCTTATATCACCTGAGGCTCACTGCAACACTGTAAGGCAGGCAGGCAAGTATGCGACAGTCCCTACTCCCAGCCTGCAGGTGGGAAAAGTGGCCAGAGAGAAGAAACCTGCTTGACACCATCCAGCTAGTCAGAGGCAGAGCTGGTATCCAACACCTTCCTGCCAGGTGGTCCTTGGGCCTGCACTTATGCTCATCCACATGCAGCACACTCCCCTGTAAGGCATCTAATGCTACAATGAAACCTCATCCTCCACGGAGGCCCCATGCCAGTCAAAGCAGAAAAGGCTTCTTGCCCTAGGGAGCTGTAGGGGGTTGAAGTCTGTGCTGACTTCCTTCTCCCTTTGTGCATCCCAGATCTGTCCTCACTTGTTTACTTGAATATCAGGACTGGAAGGAACCCAGGCCATCCCCTCCAGCCCAGCCTACTTGCCTTGGGGAGGAGAGAAGAGGGCAGAGGGGTAGGGGCAGGAAAGGACACTATAACTTAGTCCCTCCTCTGTACCAGGCATTTTGCATGTGTTTTCAAGATTGAGTGGAGATTTCCATTTTACAGACCTGGAAACCGAGGCCCAGGCAGGTGAAATGACCAACAGGCCCAAGGTCACATAGCTAGTGAATGGTGGAGTCAGAAGCCAAGCTCTGTTTCCACAACCTCAGGCTGCCTTCCTAACCAACTGCCTTCTCAGTTTAAATATCTGTACCTTCCCAGGGAGTTGGAAATGAAAGTGAATGGTCCTCCTGTCAGGATCACTTTCACTGTCCAGATAGGTGAAGCTAGAAAGTGAGTGGTGGCTTCTGAGGACCAGGGACCTGCTTGGGGGAACTTGGTAGTATCTGGAGTCAGCTGGGCTTCTTCTAAACAGATGGTGGCTGTGGGGGCCACGCCCAATGCTGGGGAGCAAGTCACCAGGAAGGCTGGGCCTGCTGAGTCATGCTGAGCTGCAGCGAAGGTGACGGGACTTTTCCAAGTTCTCCGGGCATGGCGACTGTGAGCCCATGCTTGGAACAGCCCCAATGCCTGCATTAGCTAAGTGCTTTTGATGGCTCTTGCCAGTGTGCTTCAGAACTGGCTCCCTTTGGGAGTCTTTACAGATGGAAAGTCTATAAGACTTTGGGAGGAAACAAAGGGAGGTTGAGCTATCCACCTTGGTTGCACATTGGGGTGTCCTGGACACCCCCGGACTCTGATTTAATTGTTCTGGGATGATGTTTGGGTATTGAATTTAAAAGCTTCTCAACTGATTTCAATGTGCAGCCAAAGTTGAGAGTCACTGGATTTAATGATGTCTTTTTTTTTTTTTTTTTTAGAAAGTAGGATTTTTTTTGAGAGGACAGAAAAGCTCCCAGAGTGGGAGGGGACCTGAGGGGGATGGCCCTAACGATGTCTTGACTGTGATGACTTAGTGAGCTAATGACAGAACTAGGACCCTAAGATCAGGATAGAGAAGGTTTTTTCCAGAAACAAAACAGGGTTGAGGTGAGCAGGGGGGCCTGCAAAGGTGGGAGTAAAATGCCCAGAGGAGAGAAAGCCCAGCATTCAGTAAAGGGTGAGTGGGAGAAGAAGGAAAATTGGGGAACCTAACAAGGTGGACCAAAGCCAGACCACAGAGGACCTTGTGGGTATGGCATGGCACAATCAGAATGGGCGTGTGGGCACCAGCACATAGACCAAGCTAGGGACAATAGGGGCCCACTGAAGAGGACAGACGTGATCAGACCTGCATTTTAGGTATCTGGTATAGCAGGATGGATCTGAGACTGAGACTAGAGACAAGGAAGCAAGTGAGAAAGGCTGCTGGTGCACCAGTGACACAAAACCCTCAGAAGGAGAAATGGACAGGATTTGGTCACCAGTTCAGTGTGAGGACAAGAGAGAAGGGTGTAAACATGGCTTCTAGGTTTCTGGCTTGGGTGACGTGTGGTATTGAGCAGGAATAGGTATGGGAGGAGCTGATAGGTGGCTGCGGGCCCCCCAGGAGTGGAGGTCTGGGGTGACACAGCTGGAGATGGACAGGATAAGGTACTTGCGCCTGTGGGTCTGTTTCTTAGACTCAGGATGGAGAAAAGTTGGGAGCTGATCACTGGCATCCAAATAGGAGTGGAGAAAGATCGAAAGGGATCGTGTAGTATAAAAAGAAATAATTGTGAAGCCCCCAGAGAATATCCCCATTGATAGAAGAGGACCCTAGGTAGAAGAGCAAGAACCGGTGTCTCTAAAACTAGGAATAAGACTCAAAGACAAAGGAGAATGAGGCTGTTGAAGGGCCAGCCCAGGGCGTCTGTCAGGTTCATTCACTGCCAATCCTCAGTGCCTAGGACAGTGCCTGTCAGTCAGTAGTGAGTAGATAAACAGAGTGAAGAAGGCCGTCAGGTGCCCCAGAGGTTGAGCTGCACAGATCACCTTCACACGGCTGAATGCGGAAGAGGCAATGATGCCCTTGGTTGTGCCCTTGTGACCTGGGTGGCATGGTGTGGATGGAAGCCGTGGGGCGAAGAGTGAGAGGCAGATGGGAAAGTGTAGAGATAGCCCTTCCAAGAGAGTTGATGGAGAAGGGAGAAGAGTGGTGTGGGGAGGTAAAAGGCTTGTATGGCTAGAATTTTTAAAAATTTTTATTTTATTTTAAAGATGGGGGTACAATTCAGGATTAGGATACGAGTGGTCATCATACAGGTAAGATTTGGGCTTCCTTTTGGTCCCCACTTTGCTGGTTTACGATCAGTTACTCTGATTGATGTTATGTGCCCGCCCCCCTCCCCTGGCAGTTTCTGGCTACTGCCAATTCCTTTCTTATAGTTTTATGTTAAATGTTCAGGGTCCGCTTATAAGTGAGAACATGTGGTGCTCCGTTCTTTGTTTCTGTGATAGATCACTGAGTGGCTTTTTTTTTTTAAACACGTTGAAGCAATCAGCAGAGGGAGTGAAGGAGTGAGGGCGAGTGTCCTCTAGGAGGAAGGTGGTGTCAGAGCAGAAGGGAGGGGCTGTCTTTAGCCAGGGAGGACTAAAGGACTTTTGAAGTTGGGAACAAGTCTGAGGTGAGGTTCTCTGATCCCTGGGACCTCCCATCTAATCAGAAATAGGCAAGAGGTGAGAACTGCTGTGGAAAATGGGTGGAACGGCTGACCAGGACATCATAGGACTGGTGGGCAGCACAAAGGGCCCAGCTGGGGCTGTAAAGTGCATTTATAGGAGCATTTGTGGGCACTTGTCCAAAGGTCACTTAAGAAACCAGCTTCAGCCGGGCTCGGTGGCTCAGCCTGTAATCCCGTGCTTTGGGAGGCTGAGGTGAATGGATTGCCTGAGCCCACGGGTTCAAGACCCACCTGGGCAACTTGGCGAGACCTCATCTCTACAATAAATCAAAACATTAGCTGGGTGTGGTAGCGCATGCCTGTAGTTCCAGCTACTTGGAAGGCTGTGGCGGAAGGATCACCGGAGCCCAGCAGGTCGAGGCTGCAGTGGGCCACTGTACTCTAGTCTGGGCGACAGAGTGAGACTCCAACTCAAAAAAAAACACACACAAAAAAACCAGCTTCTGCAGACCAAAGCTAGAGACATGAGTGGCCAGAACCAAGAGCACATCCTGAAATCTAACAGCATTTCCACTGCAAGCACTCAGGCATTCGGTCTATTTACTTTTGCACTTTACAAACACTCCTCACAAGCCTGCTCCAACCAGGAGCAGATTAGAAGTGATAAATTTAACATGTGAAGAGGGGCGAGGACACATGAGTAAGAAATCAAAGTGCGGCTTGGGGCCAATGTGTAGTAACGGGAAAGCAGCCACCGTGCCTGAGTAGGGCTGAAGGCATGTCCAAGGGCAGCACAGGGATTCGATGTGGCCAATGCTTCAATCAGGGCTACTTGGTGAGCATCCACTCTGTACCACATACCACCCTAGATGATACGGAGGAGTATAGCAGGACATCCTGGCCCTCAGGAGCTGCCCCAGATGGTCTGAGCTGGGCCCGTCCCTGCCCTCAAGGACTCGCCCTCCAGAGGGACTGAGGAGATCCCTTGGAGAAAAGCAGAGTGTAGCTAATGGAGGGCTTCCAGGTGCTGTGAGAGCAAAAGGGGACGATTCATGCTGGGGTGGGGTGATGGGAGACAGGAAGGGCTTCATGAAGGACTTGACAGCTGAGCTAGACCTTGAGGGTGAGTTGGCCTTGCGGGGTGGGAAGAGCAGTCATCCAGTCAATGGACAGGGCTTGTGCAGAGGTGCAGTGGCATAAAGTGTTCTGCGCATGCAGAATTGCTAACTGCCTGCGCTGGCACGCCGACTCTCTTGTGTGTTTACAAGAACTTCTCTTAGCAGACAGACATGGTCTGCCTACTCTCAAGAAGAGACTTTGCCCCACAGATGGTAAGGATGCCAATTCTGCTGTTAATTACCAGAAGCTTGCTCTCTTTCATAAAACAGGCCCCAAAGGGCTTCCTCCTGGAAGTGGTTAATTAATCATAACAGTATCTTACATGTTTACAAAGCACCTCCCATAAATTACCTCCTTGCAGCAACCCTACAAGGTAGGCGGGGCTGATGTTATTTTCCCCTCTTATTGACGAGAAAACTGAGGCTAGACAGGCCACCTGGAGTCTGAGCTAGAAGTGGGCTCCAAGTCTCTTGCCTCCCCCACCGTGTGCACTGTTAGTGATGCCAACGTCCCTGTGACATTCCTGCCTTT